TTAACAGAGAAGGTAGCGTATGATCAGAGAAACATGTACGAGTTGTTATTCTGGTCTGTTTAAGTTGTTTTGAGCATTTGTTCGTCAAACACACATTCACACATGTTTTGTATTAAAGGGGGTGTTTTTGTTATAATTTTTTCGAAACCAAACAACGCTTGTCCAGATAATATATCTGTACTTGGTATAGAGTCATGCCTCGTTACGTACCAGAAGTTATAGGGCGTCAAATTGTTCGACTATCCAGAAATGTTATGAAGCAAACGGTCATTGCCAGAGTAGTAGGGTACCCCCAGTGCACTGTATCCAAAATCCTGAAACGTCATCGGATTACAGGAAACATATTTTCAGGAAGGTCTACTGGTAAAGGCCGAAAAACTACTGCCCGATATGATCGTATTTTGATCAAGTCAAAGGTCGAAATAAAGCTTGCAACACCTTACGACAGGAATGGCATGAGCAGATTCATTCCAGGGTATACAGAAAAACAGTGAATAGGAGACTGACCCAACAAGATTATTTTACAAAAAGGGCTATCTGCAAACCAATATTAGCCAGAATTCATTGCTATCACTATGTTACTTGGACAAGACAGCATGCCAGCTTACAGTTGAGACACTGGCAACTTATCACCTTTTCATATGAGTCCTGTTTCCGGTTTGTTAAAGCTGATTGTAGGATTCGTGTTTGTCGTTTACTTGGAGAACATATGAGGGAAGACTGCCTTTCCCACAGGGAACACACAGGGGGTGGTACAGTACATGTTTGGGCAGTTATTCATCATGGTGGGAAAACTGTCCTTCATATTCACCAGGGAACCGTTAATGTCGCCTCCTACAGGCATCACATGGAGATGATATTTCTGCCATAAGCTTGGGCAACGTTTGATAATAATTTTGTGTTTCAGGATGGGAATGCCACTTCCCACAGTGCGCGTATTGTACAGGGTTATCTCGAACAGGAAAACGTTACAAGATTGTCAGGACCAGCAAAGTTCCAGATGGTAACACCACTGAGAACTGTTGGATAGAACTGAGACGAAAAATTTCTAACAACGACTCTAAACCAGCTACTGTAGCTGATTTGCGGGACCTTCTAGTGACAAATTGGGATGACTTCAAATTCGATGACGAGGAACCCACTTTGAGACTAATAATGCTTGGAGACGGCTTGAATGGGTAATGAAGAAAATCTTTAATATTAGCTTAACATAACAGCAAATGTACAACGTTTCGACAAGCCGTCTCCAAATTGGGATGACATCACAGTGGATTACATCAATAACCTCATCAGCAGCATGCTACGTCGCCTTGCGGAGATTATTAGAGTGCCAGGAGGACCAACCAAATACTGAATGTTTAATATGAACTGATATAATAATTTCATGTTATATTTTGTCATTATATATGTTTTGGTAAGGTTTTGTTGTGATAAGTAAAATGCTGAATTACACATTTTTCTACAGGTGTCTGATAAAATTGTTTGCTATTCCAATATATCGTTCATGATATCCATAGAACCTGTCTAATTATACAAATTCCATATGTAGATGTTTAATATAACATGCATTGCTCAGTTTGACAGTGCTAAGTGTACTTCTATTCTATCTTAATAATAATGATCTTATTTGTTACAAAATTTAAGCTAAGACTGTCGGTTGTAGGGTAGTCTTTATTTCTTTACATAAACAAGGGGACATGCATACTAGGTCGTAAGCTAGTTCGTTTTCCTTTACTGTAAATAAGGGGACATAGATGATCGTAGGCTAGTTTATATTTCTTTACTTGAAATATGAAGACACACATGTTAGGTCGTAAGCTAGTTTGTAGTTCTTTAAAGTAAACAAGGGGACGTACATACTAGGTTGTAAGCTAGTTTGTATCTCGTCATTCATCTGAAACCAGTTAATAGTTTAAAACATTATTGTGCTACTCCTCTTTTTCCCTCGATATCACTGGTTTAAAATCTCCCCTTTTCTCACGTTGTTTATCCTACGTATTAATCGGCTTGACATAAAAGTCGAGGCTGTCTGTTTTTGTGATACAGTGAAAATGATTTTCATATACTGTATACTAAAATATTAATCTTTCTAAATTGATATTTTTAAGTCTAAGATATGTAAAACTAAGAAGTAGTTTTAAAATATTGATTTGCAAGTAATTTTGAATGTAACGAACGATGAAACTGCGTAAATATATCTCCAGCTTTCTATATAATAACCTGGCCCCCCAGTGGCACAGCGGTATGTCTGCGGACTTGCAACGTTAGAAACCGGGTTTCGATACCCGTGCTGGGCAGAGCACAGATAGCCCATTGTGTAGCTTTGTGCTTAACTTGAAACATTTTAAAACAACTTTATATATGCCTGGGTTTAAGGGTTTTGAAACATTATAAACGCCTAGCTTTCCAGTTCCAGAGAATAACAAAATTATGTTTTCGGTCTAATGCCTTAGATATACAAAACGAACAGTATTAAACCGCCATGTTATACAAAGGAAACAAGGTTTGAAACCCGCCTGGAAAATTATTTTAATGCATGCTCTGGAGACAGTTTACATTAATACAAACTAAGAATTTATTGTTCATTAATAATATATATATCTGGAGACAGTTTACATTAATAAGAATTTATTGTTCATTAATAATATATATATCTGGAGACAGTTTACATTAATACGAACTAAGAATTTATTGTTCATTAATAATGTATATCTGGAGACAGTTTACATTAATACGAACTAAGAATTTATTGTTCATTAATAATATATATATCTGGAGACAGTTTACATTAATACGAAGTAAGAATTTATTGTTCATTAATAATATATATCTGGATACAGTTTACATTAATACGAACTAAGACTTTATTGTTCATTAATAATATATATCTTATACAGATTCCCTCCCTCCCATCAATTCATACCGAGTCTGTTTGTTTGTTTTGTTTGTTTTTGAATTTCGCGCAAAGCTACACGAGGGCTATCTGCGCTAGCCGTCCCTAATTTAGCAGTGAAAGACTAGAGGGAAGGCAGCTAGTCATCACCACCCACCGCCAACTCTTGGGCTACTCTTTTACCAACGAATAGTGGGATTGACCTTCACATTATAACGCCCCCACGGCTGAAAGGGCGAGCATGTATGGTGGGACGGGGATTCGAACCCGCGACCCTCAGATTGCGAGTCGAGCGCCTTATCCACCTGGCCATGCCGGGCCATACCGAGTCTGCAAGACTGGGTTGTGCGTACATTGACTTTGACATGTAGTGATGTAAAGCAAGCAATTTTCTTGCATTTAACTATATTCCAGAAAGTTTTCATTCTCAAGGCACGTATAAAAACTCAGAATTACAGAGGAGGTGTGAAGAAGAGTATATATTTTCGTATCCTTCATAACATTATCGAAAATGATGAAACACTCTCAGTGTTAATTAGCCCTATCCAGGCCAGTGAGCACCTTTCAGTTATCCAGCGCAGACCTGTATGTCAGATTATAAGATGTAAGTACCAAGTGTAATTCTAATTATATTTCAGTAATTTTCTATTAATATAACGAATTAATAAAAATCACCATGTTTTAACACCAACACATAAAAATAAAACCTTATATGTTATTATTTTTTGAATCATAATACACGGTGAGTTGATTTTTGTAAATAAAATCAAGCAATTGGTGGTTTTGAATGATCATTTTAGGACTAACATAAAACTCCTAAGCTGGTCAAATCTCGTGAGATATTATTGTGTTTACGGCCGTAAACATTATTTACATCCAGAGTATTCAACTGATATAACCGTGCATTCTTATTTTTATAAGTAGAAAAGTAGAAAAGTATATTTAATTAACTTCATAGTTAATAGCTTTCTCTGATTGGAGGACCAAGCGTCAATAATTATACCAATCAGCTGTTGAAACGAACATTCAATGGTCGATTTAAACTCCAAGTGTCAAGAATTACATTAATCAGCTATTGACGAAATATTCCATAGTCGACTGAAACCACAAGTGTCAATAATTACACTAATCAGATATTGAAGAAATATTCTATAGTTGACTGAAACCACAAGTGTCAATAATTACACTAATCAGATATTGAAGAAATATTCTATAGTCGACTGAAACCACAAGTGTCAAGAGTTACACTAATCAGCTATTGACAAAACATTCTATAGTCGACTGAAACCACAAGTGTCAAGAATTACACTAATCATCTGTTTAAGAAACATTATTTTGTCGACTGAAACTCCAGTCTGAACCTTTAAAAGTCACACCATCAGATATTAGTAAAAGCACACAACGAAACCCGGCTAATAGTTTGTATAGTCATCAATACCCCATCAAAGCCAAATGACGAGGACTTAATGGTCAATATCACTTACAGTAGTAAAAAAAAAGTGTCTCATTAACGAGGTACGTAGCCGGACTGGTTATCATCACGGATAGAGTCATCTAGTGAGCTTTCACGCAAATACCTATGAAGATTACCGCTAAAAAAAAAGTGAGACACGTCCTTTGGAAGCTAGTGGTTTCACTGATGATACTCTGATGAAATTTCTTACAAAGTTCCGTTCTGTGAAGTAATAATACCTCTGAATAGTTTACGTTTAGATATCTGGGATTGTTTCTAAACACGCATAAAATTGATGCGAAGTCATTGGACCGTTTTCAATCTAACCCTGAAAGCAGACTGACATTACTACCACGTTTACTCCGATACATCTAGACGGTAGTTACCAGAAATAATAAATTTGTTACTTTGATTCCGTGTAATATAAGTTGTGATATAATTGTCAAAGATTAATTAACCAGTACAAAACTAAGCAAGAGCAGCTACTACTTCCTTGAAAAAAAAATAATCTCGGTGGAAAAGTGACAGAGACCAATTTTTGATTAAAGCGGAAGAGTTAAATTAAAATTCTTTAGTATAGACGGCATGTTCACTCCAACAAATCATTGTCCCCCCCAAAAAAATGGATAAAAGAAAGAAAAGAGAGTTTCTCACTCTTTCAGTGGGAGAGAATTCCCTGGCAGATCGATCCAACATTTCGTGCGTTGTCCTAAGTAACGGAGGTGTACTTAGCTCGTCACCATCATGGTTTTTAAGGTCTGGTGAGGGGTTCGCATGGAGGTGGACACTATTGCCTGAAATAGAGTCATAGATGCAGTTTAAATAGATTGATAATTAACCCACATTACTACTTTAAACAGATACATAAATAGCCTACATTACAAATTTAAACAGATATATATTTAAAGTACATTACTATTTTAAACAGATAGATAATTAGATTATTTTATTGTTTTAAACGGATAGATAATTAGACTACATCACCAACTTAAAAGGATGGGTAATCACCCTAAATTATCAATTTAAACAGATAAATACTCACACTACATCACCAACTTAAAAGGATGGGTAATCACCCTACATTATCAATTTAAACAGATAGATACTCACACTACTTTATCAATTATAACGGATAGATAATTAAACGGCATCAACAATTTAAACGAGTAGGTGATTATGACTACGTTCTCAATTTGAATGCATATCCAAATTAATTAAGAATAACTCTAAGAGAATGAGAAAATATCTAGAAAAGCATTTTTCTCTTGAAGACCTTGTAGGGAAACCTTTATTAAATCTTGTTAAGACCAAAAAAATTATCTTCTATGTGACAAAAATGAAACAAAATCAAAGTATGAATATCAACCACTTAATTAATAACTCTTATGATATGGCTGATGCAGTTGCTAAAGAAATGCATTTTGTGGTTAATTGTTTTATTAAAAATTACGAATCGAATTATAAAACTGTTCTATATCTGTTATTAACCTTAATGGAATTGTCTGCCTAATATTTTATTATTCAAATCGCTAACATTAAACACGTTCGTTCAAGATCTTTTCCCTCAAGAAATGAATATTTTTTTGTTAAATCTGAGAAACTTTCATATTGACTAACACAATTATATAAATCTTTTGCTAGTTTGATTCTGATTAATTGTTTGTCCATCCGCATATTTAAAGGAAACTTATAAAGTAATCTAAGAGGTATTTTTTCACTCAAATAAATTCATGAAAAACTGAAATGTTTCTAGTGACGTTCCCTCTCCCATATACCACAAGAACGTTCTTTAGAAAAAGAAGGAACATAGTTGCCATCACAGATCTAAAATTAAGGTTTATTATTGATATTCCTTTAATAAAAGTATTATAAGAAGGAAAAAAAGACAATAAAGTACTTTTAAGTGTTACCAAGTTATAAAGTAAGGTATCTGAAATGTTCCGAGAATTCGAATAAAACTACAACTAACGAAGACGAATTACTCACTAGCAAGTGCAAAGACTGATTTTAAAAAAAAGAAACTACAAAGAAGCAGAGTTAAATGTGATACAGTAGTCTTTTTGATGTTCTTTAGAGTTACAGAACTTATTTTAAAGGTATTAATTTTCGCAAACAGTTTATTAATAAAAGGGAGAGTTATACTAAGTAAAAGCATGGAATCAACAATACATTAAGTACTAAGTAAAAGCATGGAATCAACAATACATTAAGTACTAAGTAAAAGCATGGAGTCAACAATACATTAAGTAAAATGAGAAATTATTTCCCTTTCAAGATGACTACTGGTAGGGAAACTGAGATGTGTAATTCACTTTTATTATCGCTAAATAATTAACTAGTGACATAGTTTGCTCTGCACATATAGTGAGCACATAAATGCGAAAATTACATTCTCTACCTCATAACCAGCATGGACTCTCTAAGGAGATGTTATGTTCGGGTTTGGGCAGTTCTCTTGCGAGCTATATTTGCTTGGTATAGCTGACCAAATAACATCCAAATTTGACATTTAGATAACATGTCTGAGAGCTTGTTGTTGTTTGATGAATTTCGCGCAAAGCTACTCGAAAGCCATCTGTGTTAGTCGTCCCTAGTTTAGAAGTGATAGACTAGAGGGAAGACAGCTAGTCAACACTACCCACTGGCAATTATTGAGCTACTCTTTACTAACGATTAGTGAGACTGATCTTCACGATACAACGCGCCTACAGCTGAAGGAAAAGCATGTTCCATGATGGGATTCGAGCCCGCGACCTGCAAATTCCAAGTCGAGTGCCCTAACCACCAGGCCAAGACAGGCCTCTGCCTGAGAGCAAGGTGCTAACACAGAAATTTTGCTTCTGATAGTTTGATTTCAGAGAAATGACAAATACAATAAACCAAGACATCTGGAGCTTAAGAAAAAAGTTTTTATAGGAATATACTAAAGATTAAAGTCGCAGGTTTTAGCTCAACATGATAACAAGCTGGAAAAAAAGAACAAAAAATCAATATCCGTACATACGTTATCAATAACTTTTGTTCGAAATTGGTCCAACAAAACAAGCAAAGTAAAATCTAACAAGGTTTATCATGGCTTAGTATGATATAAGGGAAAAACAGAAAAAGCCAGAAATATTCATCCATATATCCTAGCACCTCTATCTCGTCCCAAGTTAGCCCAAACATTGACTACTATAGCAGTATGGTAAAAAAAAAACACACAAACTCAAAGAAGCATCAATCAGTCTTCTTTATTTCATAGCACATCTATCTTGTCCGTAATTAGCCCAAACATTGACTACTATAGCAGTATGGTAAAAACAAAACAACACACACACACACACACAAAGAAGCATCAATCATTCTTTTTGGTGTCATAACACATCTATCTCGTCCCAAGTTAGCCCAAACATTGACTACTATAGCAGTATGGTAAAAACAAAACACACACACACACACACACACAAAGATGCATCAAACATTCTTTTTGGTGTTATAACACATCTATCTCGTCCCAATTTAGCCCAGACATTGACTACTATAGCAGTATGGTAAAAAACAAACACACAAAGAAGCATCAATCATTCTTTTTGGTGTCACAGCACATCTATCTCGTCCCAAGTTTGCCCAATTGACTACTATAGCAGTATGGTAAAAAAAAAACACAAAGAAGCATCAATCATTCTTTTTGGTGTCATAACACATCTATCTCGTCCCAAGTTAGCCTATACATTGACTCCTATAGCAGTATGGTAAAAAAAAAACACACAAAGAACATCAATCATTCTTTTTGGTGTCATAACACATCTATCTCGTCCCAAGTTAGCCTAGTTCTTGACTACTATATAAGAACGATAAAGACTGCCCACTTGTTCAACTAGATCTAGACTTGAGGTGTTATGTAATTTTTCTTAGGGCAGCTGGATATGACAACATATCATTTACTGTAGTTTCAAGTAAAATGAGTTGTAATCAGTACAGCTGCTTAATGATATAGAATTTATGCAATAAAGTTTTTGCGTGATTATTATTCTGGAAGTTGTCTTTATCTTCCTTCAAAGGCACCGCGGATAAGATACAGGGGTCGCATTAAGGCCGCACTTTTCAATCTGGGGTACGTGATCCCTTGGTGTCCGTAAGTATTACAGGGGGGATTCGCAACGGTAAATTTCGTGTTACATTTTGTTGTTGTTTAAAGTAACAATAAATCTTCCATCAAAGGAGAATAATGTTTTGTTTGAAATCTTAATTTACTAAGATAGGTTTGTGAACCGTAGGAGTAAAAGTGTTTGTTACCGATATTCGCGCAGAGCCTTTAGTCTTCATTAATTTTGAACTGATAGACTAGAAGAAAGACAGCATCCTAAGCCAACTATGCTACTCTAATCGAACTGTGGGATTTGAATTTCATTCTAGAAGTACATCACTGTCCCTAAGTGCGGAGTGCGTTTTTGCAGCAAAATGAGAAGAGCCATGTTCTCGGATTGACTATTCAATACCCTAACCATCTGGCCATGCCCGTCACTTGGAACACAAATATATTAATATAGTGAGACAAATGAGTTAGGTCGAGATGTTTGTGGTAAATCTGCAGATTTATAGAAACAAATTATACTAAAGCTACTTTCATTGACAGCATTTGAAGGTGAATCGTCGAACAGCACAAGGTGATCAAAATATATTTATGTAAAATATACAGTACAGTTATCTTTATCTATACATAAAGGAGTGTAATTGAAAGTTTCAACATCAATAGCACTTTATGTGCACGTTGGATTAATAACCAGATCAAGGACCTTTAGGGTTCATACATAGTAATCAGAGGGAGGACAGCCGCCTAGCATTACCGCTGCTACATTAGTTCTGTCTGACTCTTTAATCTGAATACAGGGATTGTCTATCAGTTTCAAAACGCGCCTACAACTCATAGAGGATCACGCCTCGAATTTTGGACCGTCGATCAGCAGCCCTGCACACTAACCAATACGCCAAGCTCAGCCCATTAGGGAGTGGATGATGGTAATTATTAAGACTGATGTCAAAAAAGGGAAGCATGGTGATTTTACCTTATCTCTTAAGATAAGAAATGCTAAGTTATATGAAACACCACTTTATGATTTCAGGTAACGTTTACGTACTTAAATAAAGTTTTTGTTGCTTATTTCAAAAAATTTCTAAAGTCTCTATTTATTACATTTAAAAAAAACTTATATCAGTTTTATTCAAGCAAATGACACTCATTACCCTTCCAAGTAAGCATTTTGGTTAACATTACCACTCGAGAAATCATTAAAACTCCTCTTAGACCCTAAAGTTTTCTCTTAACTGGTTCGTGTAAATGTCTCGTAACTCTAGAAGTCTAACTACCTAATTCCCTGAGGAAGTTTTGGAAGTTGGTACATTCAAAACGGAGCACAAAATTCACCAAAAAAATGTGAACATTGAATACATTACACTGATCGCAAGGTAAATAGCTTACTTAACTTTCTATGTATTTCAAGTTATTTATATTGCATTAGGGAAGCATAAGTTTATATAGCAGACGTTTAGAAATGTACAACTATCTTTACTCAATTTATTCATATAACTGAAGAGGTTGTTGTAACCATAGCAACGTCAGGTACATCTTAAAATACCTTATTATACAAAGACTGAAAAAAAAACGATATTTCATATACCAAAAAGAACAAAAGAGCTAAGATCTTACAAACATTTTCATGAAAATTCAATCTAATAATTTCTATGCTAATTTCTAAAATATACCGTATTTGCCGGTGTATAATACCATACTTTTTACACGTAAGACAATGAA